ACGAAGGCCAGGTGGAGCGGCTGCACCGGATCCCGTCCATAAAGACAGAAGTACGGGGTGTCCCCAAGAGTTTCCTGGGACACCGTCCGGTAAGCCCTCGGCAGCCGCGGGAGATACGTGTCCCAGTCAGTCTCGGCCGAGTTGGCGTACATCATGATCATGGTTGCCAACGTGGAGTTGAACCGCTCGACCAAACCTTGACCTTGGGGATGTCCGGGAGCGCTAGCCAGTTTGTCGATCCCCAGAGTCGTGTAGAGGGTCGAGGCCAACTTGGACACAATGTTGGAGCCACGGTCTGATAACAGCTTGTCCGCGGAAATCCATATCGACAAATCACTTCGTCGGTGAGAACCTTGAGAAAGGTCGAGGCTTCAAGTCCGCGACGGCGACTGCTTCCACCCAGCGCGTGAAGTAATCCGCGAACCCAATCACAAACTTGTTTCCTTCGGGAGTCATCGGTAAAGGGCCCAACGCATCGACCACCAGGAAGCAGAACGGACCTCGCGGGTCGTACACCGGCATGCGTTGGAGTCGCTCTTGTTTCCAAGGTCGCGACCCTTTGGCCGCCCCACATCGCGCACAACATTGGCAGTACTCGATCACGTCTTCTCGCCATCGATGCCAAGATGCGATGTGCCTCACCCGTTCTATAGTACGCTCGCGTCCGAAATGTCCCGACAAGGGCGAATCATGGCAAAGAGTCAGCATGTCGGTCTTCACAGACACCGGGATCACTGGAACGAGGTTCAACGACGGGTTTCGTAGAGAGGATTTCAACACCTCGCGCCGATATAGCACCCCGCCCTTGAGCGAGTAGTGTTCGTGGGTCCGGGACACGAATTTCATCAACCACACGTCCAGAGATAGGGCTCCGGAGTCCAAATGTGCCTTCATAGCCTTACGAACGGATCTTTGTCTTGATCCCGTCGAAGAACGCCGTCCGGGAGTGCGTACGTGTTGTCTCAGTAGGGTGGCAGCGAGACGGTCCTTGGAGGCGGTTCTGGTTCCGGATTCCGTCGCGCATCGACGTTTAAGGTCCCGTCTTTGGGCGTAGCGTCCATCGCGGCTGTTTTGGCGGCCCTCGTTTGAATTCGAGTCACGGCCCCGACCAATCCTTTGGCGATCGAGCAGACGCGAGGACCCCCACGCGGCGCCGGCTGAGCTATGACGTCGTTCGCCTCGTGATCCCACCGAGAGGCGAAAGGAGCTACTCCCACCGCTTCATCCTCCAACGGGAGTCTCGACAGTCAGTCGTCACACCCCATTTGCGTTCCCGGACGATGCACCACCGGGCTGTGTAGGTGAACGGCCCACCAAGCTAACTTCGCGTTTCCCGACTTCGATCCCGTCTTGTACAGCCAGACCAGCGCAGCGTGGTCCGTGTAAACGATGAAGTGTCGGCGGTCAAAATAGGGTCGGAACTTGCTTGTAGCCCACACCAGCCCGTAGCATTCGATTTCGGACGTCCTGTCTTTCTTCGAGATCCATCTCTGTTGAGTGGCGTCTAGGGCTTGGCTAGCGTACGCGATGGCGCGGTGTCTGCCACCTTGTTCTTGCATCAGGACGGCGCCCAACGCAACCGGGCACGCATCCAAAAAGATCGTGAACGGGAGATCGAAGTCAGGGTAGGCCAGGAGCGGCAGACTCGCCAGCTTTCGTTTGAGTGTGTCCAGGGCGTCCTAGTATTCGGGAGTCCATTCAAATTCCTCCGCCACCTTCAGTTTTTCCAGGGGCCGCGAGATAGGTGCATACGCCTTGATGAAGCGACTAAAGTATCCAGCCAGGCCCAGGAAGGACCGCACCTGAGCCACGTTCCTTAGCGGCTTGATCATGAGCACCGACTTCACCTTCTCTGGGTTCGGGAGGATTCCTCACGACGCCACTGTGTCCCAGAAAAGCCACTTTTATTCTGCCCCACTGGCATTTAACATTTTGAGCATGAATCCGGCGTCTTGAAGGCAGGTCAGCGCGTGTTGCAGGCGCACCAAGTGAGACCCGAAATCCTCGCTGAACACGATGACATCATCCAGGTATACCAGGCAAATTCGCCAGATGTACTCCTGGAGCACGCCTTCCATCAGTCGTTCAAACTGAGGCACCGCGTTGCAGAGTCCAAATGGCATCACGAGCCACTCGTACAGGCCGAACTTGCACGTGAACGCCGTCTTCTCAATGCTTTCTCGTCCATTTGTACGTTCCAGTATCCCGACGCCACGTCCATAGTCGAGAAGAACTTCAACTTGCCCAGAACGTCGACCAGGTCGTCGACTCGCGACATTGGGTAGCAGTCCTTGACTGTGACATTGTTGAGTCGTTGGTAGTCAATGCAGAATCGAATGGACCCGTCCGGAATTCTGATCATGAGTACCGGTCTCGCCCATGGGCTCGTGGACATCTGTATTAGTCCCAGTTCCAGGTATTTTTTATCTCCGCTTCCATGATCTCGCCTTCCTTCTGGGTCACTCGGAACGGCTGCTTGATCGGGCTGGCTCCAGCCGTGTTGATGTGGCGTTTGACGAGGTCCGTTCGTCCGGGAGCCTTGGAAGTTGTCACGAAGAGATCGAACTTGAGCAGGAGTTTTCGTAGCAGTTCATTCTGTTCGGCACTCAGGCTAGAGTTCGTCCAGTTCATGGGGATTTCTTCCTTCGGTGCGGGTGATTCAGTTCGTACCGCCGCACACACCGGGATTTTCTTCATTTCGTCGACGTTGACCCCCTATCCCTGAACAGGTCGCTCGCCCGGGTGACCGGCAAGAACAGGCGACATCCGTCGATGCGCGGGTCGTGTATCCGTGGTTGTCCATGAACTGCTCCGGGAGCAGAGTGACATGGCCCACTACGTCTCCTTTCCAAAGGTACACGCCGTCCAGTTCCGTATTGCGGACTTGGACCCAAATGAAGCCGTCCCGGACTGCGTTCAGAGAACGTGCAATCACCAGTGGAAACGTCGTAAAGCAAGGTTCTGCCAGGACAATGAGTTGTACTCCAGGGGTTTCTTGGACCTTGCATTGTATAACCATCCTGGTGCACCCTCGCAACCAAACTGGATGATGTACGAGGAGTGAACTTGCGCCCGCCGCGTACCTTGAGTCGTCGTCGGGAGTCGAACCAGGGACCTCCCATAAGGGCTCCACGCAGTCCGGGATGGTCTCCGTGGTGTTAGTGGACCGGTCGACTTGGTGCAAATGTACAACCAAGCAAGTGTCCTCGGCCATGCGGTCTTGATAAACGAAGGGTACCAACTCACCGTTCCCGAATTGGAGACAGGCTCGGGTGCAGTTCACGACAGCGCCCAGCTTGCGGAGCATGTTGTATCCCAAAATGCAAGGGCTCACCGCCCCGTCCATGCCCACAGTGAATTGTGGGCGTACCACGTCCCGACGGATATCACAAACTTGGTGAGCCCCTTCGTGGGCATCTTGGTGTTGGACAGTGAGATCAACCCGTACTTCGGTTGCACCAACGGAGTGCTTCCTAAGAGTCGCCAGATGTCGGGGCCCAAATCACACTGACAGAGGCGCCGGTGTCCACCAGGGCGTTCACCTCGACTGAGAGTTATCGATGCTTGATGACCGCCTTCAAGAGGGGAACAGCTGAGTTTTCGGCGATCTGACCCGCAACCAAAGGCTCGGACGGCTCACCAGTCGTCGTCATCACCCGACGAGCGCAGTCCTCACGAACATCCTCATCCGGGACATCCCGAAATGGCCAATCCATGTATGGGCTTGTGACTGCCGTCGAGGCCTTGACGAGTCCCGTAATGCAGACTGCGCTTGGCTTTTGACTCCTGTCGGTTAAATTCTTGACTCGACGAGGCGTCGTGAGGTGCGTTCCGTCTCGCTGAATGGCGCTGAAGTACACGCGCCGAGCCGACGTTGGCTCATTTTGCCGACGCCAATCCTTGGAGGGCAGCCGCGTGTCGCCCTGATTGACTAATGGTAAGTAGGCTTCAACGTCCGAGCCCAGAAAACGCCATCGGGCCAACGCAGCGAACCGGAACTTCAGGCGGGGTCGGTTGGTAGCTCGTTGTAGAGTTGCAACTTGAGGTGTTCGTCCCGTATCATTTGACTCCGGGACTCTTCGGCCATAGGGCCCATGCCTCTCAATTCTTGAGACCCGATGGCAGACCGATACAAGCAAACCCACCAGGTGGACGCCATCATCGCGTCGCGACCAGTACTGAAGTCTCGGCTAGCGGTCCGGGCTTCTTCACACGTTTTCAAGGCGTCCCTGAACCACTGGCGCCATCATACAGGATCGTCAATGTCGGCAGGTTTTTCTAGCATTCTTTCGTCGCTTTTCGTCAAAGGTCGCTGCAGGGTAGCCGTGATGAGGTCCACTATTTCTTGGTGGGTCACGTCCCATCGCAGAGCGCACAATTCCTTGACTTGTCGTTCGATGTCCGCGGCGGACAGCGGGTAGAGCCGTTCCTCAACATCCACATGCTTGGAGTCTGCTATGCCCTCTCAGTCACCGGGAGTATTCCAGTCCGCTCGCATCCCGGACGATCCAACCCCAGCGATACCAGCCACTACTTCATGCAGAATCGTGTCTTGCCGAGCTCTGAGCTCCGATACCTCCCGCCGAAGCTGAGCAAGAGTATCCTGGAGGCTAGACTCATCCAGAAAACTCCCCGACGAGCGTGAACTTCTTGGGCTACCGCGAATCGACGATTGACGTGACGAAGTCGAGGCCATCGTGTCCGGGACCGTCTTTCGAGCTGTGGACCGAACGTCGTCCCCACGTTGATAAATTTCCACATCCCGTTCGCGCAGGTATTCCAGGCAGTCGCTGACGGAGCGGTGTCTAGACAGGGCACCTCGCGAACACGCGGACACACGTTGTCTTCGCACCCATTGATCAGCATGGCTACGGCGATGGTGGGGTTCATCTTGGAATCCCGGACTCCACCAGCCATTCGCCAGGCGAACTCCCGTACGGATTCGGTCGGACGGCGCTTGGAATGGTCGGTGATGTCAGCCACCTTCCGGGCATCAGCGAATGCTAGGCGGTTGAGGTTACCTTCCGCATCCACACCTATTGGCGGATTCGGTAAGTACTGCGAAGGTCCACTCCCACAGTCGCCACCTCCGGGTGGGTCGCTAGTGGGACCTCCTCCTTGACCTCCGTATCCCGGTAGTCGCGTGAGCCGTTTCCATAGTCAGGTCCGGGATGATCACGCCCTCTAAGGCCTCCGCCTCCTCCCCGTTCGGGAGAAGTATCTCCACCGTAGCCACCACCGTTGCCACCAGCCATCGCACCCCCCTGGTGTCCTTGATTGATGGATGTGGGATACCCTCGTAGCTGGGATACTCCGGCGAGGCTCGTCCGCGGAGGAGGTGAAAACGGGACCGACGGCGTTGGAAATTCGACTCCATACACGAGAGTGTCGTGAGCGTCGAGAGGTCCTCGTCTCCATCGCGTACTGCCAGGTACATGAAGCGGGACGACTTCTTTGGCGACGCTGGGAACGGGGTGAGAGCCCTTGTCCACACCGATCGAAGGGAACACCGGGTTGACTCCACAAACTGGCGCACCAACGGGTGTCGCGAAGGAGACCAACGGGGCTTTCGTGGGCGCTCCGTACTAGGCTAGTTTAGGGTTCAGAATCGGGTTCGCCAGGTAGGGGTTGGCTCGGTTGGCGTCGACCCGGAGTTCGTTCAACTCCCGCCTTTCGAACTATTGGCGAGCTTGCGCCTTCTCCAATTCATTACGTAGTTCCGCCAGGGCAAGTTTTTGACTTCGTCGGCCGTCTTCATCTTTGGCCTCCTGTTCCCGGAAGAGCTTCTTGGATGCCTCCATTACTCCCTTTTCGAGCCGGTGCGTTCGAACAGACTCCGCCAAAGACGCTCGTTCTAGTTCTACTTCCAAAGCTGCTTGTGCCGAGGACAACTTGGCTTTCGCTTCTTGGATCCCCCGGATCGCCGCCAGGTCGCTCCCGGATGGTGAAGCTTCAGACATCACGCGAGCTCCATTTCCAGCTCCTTCACCACGTCCTGGCTTTCGGCGAGGGCCTTCGTCCGGCCGTGACATTCGCTCCTCAAGGACTTGACTTCCCGTTGTCGGTAGGCTTCAGCTTCGCTACGGGATGTCGTGGACCGTTCCAACTAAGCCGAGAGATTCTGCACCTCATCTTGCAACCTCACCGACTGGCCTTGTAGGACCAGAATGTTTTGTTCCAACCGGACGCAGTTGGGGCAGGCCTGTTCTCTTTCTTCGGCCAGCTTTCGCCACTCCAGTGTCGCCGATTTTGCCTTCTCCAGTTGACTTTCGTAGCGCATCACTTCTTGACGTTACGCCTTCAGCTCAAGGTTCTTCGTTTTCACTAGCTCAGCGTTCTCCTCCGCGCTGAGCACTTCCCGTTTGCTGTATTACCCCAGGAGAGACTGCTGCTCCTGTGCCGTTTGAGCTATGAGAGGCCACACATCGTCCCGGTGTTGGCGTTTCAACGCCTCCACCCGCTCTTGACGAGTCCCCGCCGATCAGTTTGCTTCGTCTTGAACAGACAGCATGCGTTCACTACAGTCCCGTTGTATCGCCACAATTTCCCGGTCTTGCGCTTGAAGAGCACTGGCGGTCTTCAGTGGAATGCCCCCTCTTGAGCTTATTGGTACTCCAAGAACCACTTGTTCCATCTCTCTTGACACTCATCCAACCTCGCTTGGACTTCATCCCAGACTGCTTGCTATCTCGGCGTCCCGTTGCATAAGGCGTCGAGAGGACCCCAGTTCGACCAGGTACCTGTTCTGGAGCGACTCCCGTGCTAGCAGGAACTCGTTTTTGGCGACGAGATTCGTTCGCAGTTGCAGCTGCCATGAGGCGTCAGCGATCGCTATAAAACGGGATTCTTGAGCATCTAGGAGACGCGACCGGTCTTCGTTGTACTGTTGGAAGAACTTCAGGGCCTCAGCCTTCTGTTGATACTCCACATCGACGTTCGCAAAACTCTGCGACACTTCTCTGGCTGTCCTCAAAACGAAGGGGGGCTGGTTCCCCAACTTCGAAAGAGCCCGATTAATTCCGCGCCACTCCAGCCCGGGGCTTCTCTTCGTCGGAATCGTCACCCGTCAAGTCGATCACTTCGTGTTTGAGCTTCACACCGTCCGGAATCTTGCTTGATTTCTTTGGTGGAGAGCTCAACACAAGTTGATCGGCGTCCGGGGACACGTCCGGAGAGCTGTCGGCTAGTCGTTTCTTCTCCGGGGACAGGGTTGACATCCCGGCACTCATGTCTCCCTCTTGCTCGGGTCGGTGTGGCCTTTCGCAGCCGACACCTTTCTGCTAATGCGTTAGGGTTCGGCCATGCACGGGTTCGCGGGGACCCTTCCCCGCCTAAAGCAAACAGTCAGCGCACAGTCATCCCCTCGACGAGGGCTGGTTCGACCTTTTCAGCTTCCTCCTCAGACAGGAAGTGTCCACAATCCCTGCCAACTCATCCTATGGCCGTTGGCCTTCAGGGATCCAGACACGTGAGAGCCCCATGTCGATAGTGTGGTCGTCAACACTGGGTGATGAGACATGGTTTCGCTACCGCATACCTGTAGACTCACCCACTAAATCCCGGACACACACTCTTCGGGTCTTCAACACGAGCAAAAAACTCGATCACATCTAATGAGGGCAGTCTCACATGAAAATGGTTCTTGTCACACTGGAATGGTTTTTCTCACAGCAAAATAGACTTAACTGTAACCGATCAAATGTATCATGTTGTAGAGGTCCCCGACACTGGGAGAAATCCCAAAGGTCCTCGCTATTGAGAATTGACGCCATCGACTCATACTCCACTTCTCCGATGACCCCAACACGTGGGGCGCTCTCGGTCTCAGCCGAAGCCCTGGTCTCATGAACAAGGACCAAAATTCATGGCGCGTTTTAGCAAACTCCCGATTTTCACTCGGTAGAGCCTCAGCTACCTCATTTGCAACTATATCGAGAAATACAACACCGTGTGCCATGAGGTGGTCAAGATCAACGTCGGGTTTCCCTTGAGCTCGTGATGTTGACCCTCAGTCGTTTCGTTCGTTAGGTGCTTAACATCA